TAATGTTCTCCTGGTGGACGGGGACAAACTCCAACAACGACGGATACTTTATGTATTAGGAACAGAGATGCCCCCTTGCTCATTATGTTTTCCTGATAAAAAAATTACCGAATGACGCATTCCTTTTGGAGTTGCAATAGTACCTCCTCGTTTATTATGCGCTCACTATATTTCCCTGGTACCAATGGTTTCTGAAGGTTGTTAACACGTACGTCTTAATATTGGAAAAATGCCTCGTTTGTTCAGCTCTCTTGATAACCAGAGAAAGTCTTTCTGGCAGCTATTCTAAATAGTTGGAGCAGAGATCTTTCGTCGGTGATACAAAAGGTTCCCAAAAGTTTAAACGGTAATAAAATTAGAAACAGACTTACTTTATTATGGTCTCCTCATAAACAAAGAAAATATTACGACTTCTTCACTTTCTATATTCCCCTAATACCAACAAAGTCTAAGCGAAAATAAATTATTGAAAGGTTTTCCTTGACTCTACAAGCACACTTCCTGATTTATCATATTCTTTTGATAGAAGAAGAAGGTTTACAAACACTTTCTGACGGATATACGAGATATTTCCACATTATATAATTCTTTTGATGAAGAAGTTCTAGAAATTTTAATTGAAAACAAATTATTGTTGATGGACAAAGACCTCCTCGATTATAACGTTTTTACCAGTTAGCTTGAGAAAATTTGTCAGTGAATCTTCGCTCATTATGTTCGCCTGATACAAAACTTCAAAAGTGAAAATAAATTATTATTTTTATTGGCAACCAGTGAAAATTACGACTTGTTTCTGACGGGTGTTCTATATATCAGGAGCATAGGTACCTGTCCTCGCTCATTATGCTTTCCTGGTACAAGCGTCTACTAAAGTTTAAGAGAAAATAAATTGTTGGGGGTTGGAGACACACATCGTTTACTAAGCTCTTCTGATAGCCAGAAAAATGTTTCTGGTGGAAATCCTATTAGGAGCAGAGATACCTCCTCGCTCATTATTTTCTGATAAAAAATTCTCGAAATACATTCCTCTTTAATACTGCACAATTATCCCCTCGTTTATTATGCGCCCCTGGTACCCAGGATTTTCTGGTGGATACTTCAAATATTGGGAGTATAAAGATTTAATCGCTCACTATATTTCCCTGATACAAATTGTTCCTGAAGATTTGTTGACACAGACCTCTTAATATTGGAAACATTCCTCGTTTATTAAGCTCTCCTGATAAGTTTTTGGGGCAGCTATTCTAAAAAATGAGATAACATATTTGTCGTCGCTCATTATATTCTCCTAGTACAAAAATTTAAACGATAATAAAATTGGAAAAATACCTAGTTTATTATGGTCTCCTCATAAACACAGAAAATTTTGAGACAGAGCAGAGAGACCTCTTCGCTTTCTATATTCTCCTGATACAAACATTCATAAGCGAAAATAAATATTTTTTATTGGCAACCAATGAAAATTACGACTCTTTTCTGCCGGGTATTCTATATATTAGGAGCAGAGGTACCTCCTCACTCATTATGCTTTCCTGATACAAGAGTTTACTAAAGTTTACGTGAAAATAAATTGTTGAGGTATTCCTATTAAGGTTGAGGACACACATCCTCGTTTATTAAGCTCTTCTGATAGCCAGAAAAATCATTCTGGCGGAAATCCTAAATCTTAGGAGCAGAGATACCTCCTCCCTCATTAGGCGTTCCTGATACAAGCGTTGACTAAAGTTTAAGTGAAAATAAAATGTTGGGTTCTTCCTATTACAGTTGGAGACACACATTCTCGTTTACTAAGCTCTTCTGATACCCAGATAAATTTTTCTGGCGGAAATCCTAAATATTAGGAACTGAGATACCTCCTCGCTCATTATCTTCTGATAAAAAATTCTCGAAATGTATACATTCCACGTTAATACTGCACAAATATCCACTCGTTTATCATGCGCCCCTGGTAATCAGGATTTTTTTGCGTATACTTCAAATATTGGGAGTAGAAATATTTCGTCGCTCACTATATTTCCCTGGTACAAATAGTTCCTGAAGATTTGTTGACACATACCTCTTAATTTTGGAAAAATGCCTCGTTTATTAAGTTCTCCTGGTAACCAGAGAAAGTCTTTCTGGCAGCTATTCTAAATTTATTTATTTATTGTTATTTATTTAATTGGTACTTGGTGGTCTTTTCTCCATGAATTAAGCAGTCACGGGGGTAAAAAAAACTCTAATCAAATGAGTTACGATACCTAATTCCGTGATTGTCTTCGACATTCAACTGTAGGTTCGAAACCCCGAAACTAGGGGCGAGTTATCTATCTTGCGGGCAAGATTACGCTAATCAAAAACTCTTCGGTTTAGAATATATGTGCGATAAATGAGTTCCGATTCGTTAATTACCACATATCTTGCCGTTAGTTGAATTTGCCTACAAGGTCATGTAATTTTCCAGCTTACTCCTAATAAAAGGACTTTATTGCGTCAAAGATGCGTCACATCATTTACCCTTCACCCTTTCTCAGAATTCGGGGAACTGCTTACCTCACTCATTGTTCCCAAAATTTGTTTTTAATGCTGCGAGATCGCATCGAACTTGGCGTTGGAAATCGCCCGTGTGCATCCAGCCTAAGAGCTTCATTTCTTGCGTACAGTTACTCATTGGCTCAATAGAAAGACATTACGACGCCCTCTTGGTTTTTGACAGTTTTTATTGCTTGCATAAGTCATGTATTTGATTCTTTTATGGGCAAATCTAAATAGCTGAATTATCAACTTCCAGCCTGCGGTGCTTGTCTCTTGTCGTAACAGGATTCACGCCTGTGGCATAATTCAAACGAAAGGGCGAACGAGCTGACTCGCCACGACAGTCGTGGAAGTCTTGGTAGCACGAATAAATTAGGCAAAGTTAGAGGGTTAAATAAAGTCGAAAACCTCAAATATATATATACTTGCGTGCGCGCTACGTAGTGGCACCCAAAAAATTTGACGTAAGTTGTGACCACTTCTCAATGTCGGGCTCTCCTTATTAATAGACTAGAGTAAGGTATGGTTGTGTAAATGAAACAACAATCTTGGAAAAATTTGCATTACTCATTTTTTAATTAAAATATAATAAACCCTTATAAGCATTAATGGACACACTGTTATTAAAATGTTATGGAAATGAACACACATACATTGATAAGAAAGCCAAAATGATTACTTTTTTTTTCAAAAATTTGGATCCATTAACATGGCGAAGCGTATAGAAAAATATAACAAAACCATAAAAACTCTTTAAAAAATATCTACAACCTAACTTTTACAATAGTAGTAGTCTTAGGTATCTTTAAAAATTAATAATAGAACAGTCTCAAAATTTAAGATTAATATCGAAAGTAACCTTAAACGTATTTACAATAATTTACAAAAATAACTGCCATACTTATGGATACCCCTAATGTACATGAAGAGAAAAAAAGGAAAAGCGAACAAAGTGTCTCCGTTTCATCGGTACGAAACGTAAACAATTAGATCGATCTCATTTCTTATATTACAAAGGGCTTTTTACTATAAGTTGAATTATTTATACACATAAAATCGTAGCATATTCAAACAGTAGGTATATAACATGTAAAATCTTTTTTTCATTTTTTTTTGGCAATGTGTACACGAAAACAGTTAAGTAATCACATAAAAAATGCAAAAATACACTACCAAACAGCTCTTCGATCTTCATTTTCTTCGAAATCAATCGATAACATTCTTAAACCTACTTAAATTTTTTTATGTGCTAGCTATGCTCGTTTTATTTACAATTTTACATTTTCTTTAAAATAGGTCCTCTTGTATACTTTGTCGTCTATGAGATAGTTTTTTCTTAATTGAATAGCTACCTTAGTTTGAAAATGTACCAATACGCGTACATTTTCACGTTTTTTTTTTCAAGATTGATCATCGTTATTACCTACCTAGAATACTGTGTAATTTCATTCGGTATAAAATTCCGGGGATAGCCCCGAATGCGGCTTGGTAGCACGAGTGAATTAGGCAAAGTTTGAGGGTTAAAAGTCGAAAATTCCAAATATATATATATATATACCTGCGTGCGCGCTACGTAGTGGCACCCAAAAATTGTGACGTAAGTAGTCACCACAAGGTGCTCGATTGACAACTGTACTTGAAAACTGGTCAATTTAACCAAAACGGCTTTGTATCTACATGGCAAGCTTTACTTATCCACAAGGCGATGGTTTGAGGTTATGTTGAAGTTCTATTTAAAATACAAAACCCTGTATCTAAGTAAAGAGGCACAAAATTTTAGCTTACAATTGCAAACGAATCACCCTGTCACATCGCGAAACCCGCCAATTTACCCGTGCCGCTTAAATACAATTAGGCGTTCTTTTATAACAATGTTCAAAAATCTAATAAGGTGCACGTAAAAATGAAAAAGACCAGCCCTCGCGCCATTTTTTTCTTCTTTTTTTCGTAAGCTTAATCATACATCACAGATTCAATATAAGTGTTCAAAAACTACGCAAAATAGAAATTCAAACCTTCGTGACGATTTTGAGACAACGGAAATTGCACTAACGGTCGAGGCTCGCGCATTGCACATCTCCACGGTTTGGTCCGAAGCCGTCGACCGCGACCGCACAGCAAAGCACCACACCCCTCGAATTAATCTAATCGTAAATTTTGGTTTTGTTCGTTGTATTTCTAAGCTCTGCTTAATATGTCATATATGATTAGAGGCGTGTACAAACGAAACCGTGTGTGTTTAACTTATATACATTCGCTATTTTTCCTTGAATTACATTAGTACACTTAAGGCAAGAAACGAAAACTCTAAAAATCTGTACATTGATCTCAATCTTGCACCCGTTATTCAAATCACACTTATAATATTATCAAATCCAACAACGGCCAAATATATACTCCAAAAAGTAAAGTGCAAATAACAAAAGTAAATTGACTATTATAAAAGGAGTCGAAGCGAGCTTTTTTGGCATCAGAAAAAAAATCCCTTCAACCTTTAATATGTATTCTTTTTAAATATCATTTCATTTGTCTAATGTCCTTCAAAAATCACCCGTCGCGTAATTTATCATCTTAAAACAGCCAGATGTAAGACCGCGAGGATCGCGAAGACTACAGATGGCGTGATCGCATAACTTGAACTGGCAGCTCCCACTTCGGCGCATAGACCTGAAATACGCCTTTCGTTAATACCTATTCACTTCCGCTGGATCTGTACCTTTACTAATAAACGTAAATGACCACGAGTCCGCTGTTTCGGGCGATAAGCTTCTGTGACAGGTTTCTGTCATGCTCGATATTCGCAGTATTGACGGTCTGCTCCTGCTGAGCGCCCCGTTCATGAGGGAGGTTGTCGTTTGTGGCGGCCCGTTCGTGTTGTAGACGAAGCAGTAGCGGACTGTATCCGATGGCTTCTTCGATAAAGGGGAGGTGATCACGTAGTGCGTGTTGTTTTCCTGCCAACTTCCGAGGCACGTGTACGCTGAAATAAGAAAACCGATTAAGTAGTTGCGTTTCCATGTCAAAGACCACCCACAAGATCTCAAAGACAAGACGTCGTTCCTCAGGATCTCAAGACTTCAGGATCTAAAGATTTCATGATCTCAAAATAGCAAAATCCCACCCTCCCAATAACTCAAAATCTCAGTACTTCAGTGTGAACGTCACGAAGTCTATGTGTCTCCACCTCTCCTTGAGCTAAAACCCTCAAGATTTCAAGATATTAAGATCTCTAGATTTCAAAGAATCAAAATTTCAACATCTCTAACTCAAAATCTCATCTAAAACTCTTAAGATCTCAAAGTCGCGAGGTCTATGTACCTCGAACTCTTTTCGAGATTTCATTTCCATCTGAAAACGTCAAGGTCTCAAGATCTGCAAGGTTGATAGGTCTATCTGTCCTCGAGATTTCAAAATTATCAATCTCAAAAATTCAAAATCTCAAAGAACAAAATCACAAGACCACAAAATGTAAATCTTTCAATATCTCAAAATCAAAAATCTCAGTATTCTAGAATTTCAGGATCTCCACCTCCCAATGACACAGAATCTTAGTCTCTATAAATCTCAAGGTCGAGAGATGTGTACCTCAACCTCCCAATAATTGAAAACCTCAATGTCTCAGTGTCTAAAACTCTCAAAACTTCAAGGTCTCAAGATCTCAAGGTCGCGAGGTTCATATCTTATAAACCTCAACAAACATAAATTTCAGTCTCAAAAGTCTCAAATTTTTAAAATCCAAAAACTCCGAAAAATCAAAATTTCGAAAATTACAGAATAACAAAAATTCCAAAAATTCAAAATGTAAAAATCCACAACAAAATCTTCTCATAATCCCGAAATTTCAAAACCTAGACCCCAGAATTTCAGGACCTAAAGACATTAAAGTCGCAAATCTTTAAAGTTCAAAAATTTCGAAAAATCAGAATTTCGAAAATCACAAAATATCAAAATTTAAAAAATTCAAAATGTAAAAATCCACAAAAAAATCTTGAAATCCCGAAATTTGAAAACCTAGACGCCAGAATTTCAGGACCTAAAAACATTAAAGTCGCAAATCTTTAAAATTCAAAAATTTAGAAAAATCAAAATTTCGAAAATTATAGAATATCAAAATTCCAAAAATTCAAAATGTAAAAATCCAGTAAAAGATCTTAAAATCCCGAAATTTCAAAACCTAGACCTCAGAATTTCAGGACTTAAAGACATCAGTCGCAAATCTTTAAAATTCAACAATTTAGAAAAATCAAAATTTCGAAAATTACAGAATATCAAAATTCCAAAATGTAAAAATCCACAAAAAGATCTTAAAATCCCGAAATTTCAAAACCTAGACCCCAGAATTTCAGGACCTAAAGACATCAAAGTCAAAAATCTTTAAAATTCCAAAATTTGGAAAAATTAAAATTTCGAACATTACAGAATATCAAAATTCCAAAAATTCAAAAAGATCATAAAATCCCGAAATTTCAAAACCCAGACCCCAGAATTTCAGGACCTAAACACATCAGTCGCAAAACATTAAAATTCAACAATTTAGAAAAATCAAAATTTCGAAAATTACAGAATATCAAAATTCCAAAAATTCAAAATGTAAAAATCCAGTAAAAGATCTTAAAATTCCGAAATTTCAAAACCTAGACCTCAGAATTTCAGGACCTAAAGACATCACAATCGCAAATCTTTAAAATTCAAAAATTTCAAAAAATCACAATTTCGAAAATTACAGAAAATCAAAATTCCAAAATGTAAAAATCCACAAAAAGATCTCAAAATCCCGAAATTTCAAAACCTAGACCTCAGAATTTCAGGACCTAAAGACATCAAACTCGCAAATCTTTAAAATTCAACAATTTGGAAAAATCAACATTTCGAAAATTACAGAATATCAAAATTCCAAAAATTCGAAATGTAAAACCCACAAAAAGATGTTCTTAAAATCCCAAAATTTCAAAACCTACACCCCAGAATTTCAAGACATCAAAGTCACAAATCTTTAAAATTCAAAAATTTGGAAAAATTAAAATTTCGAACATTACAGAATATCAAAATTCCAACAATTCAAAAGGTAAAATTCCACAAAAAGACCTTAAAACTCCGAAATTTCAAAACCCAGACCCCAGAATTTCAGGACCTAGTCATCCGTCGCAAGTCTTTAAAATTAAAAAATTTGGAAAAATCAAAATTTCGAGAATTAGAGAATATCAAAATTCCAAAAATGCAAAATGTAAAAATTCCACAAAAAATCTTAAAATCCCGAAACTTGAAAACCTAGACCCCAGAATTTCAGGACCTAATGACATCAAAGTCGTAAATCTTTAAAATTCAAATATTTGGAAAAATCAAAATTTCGAAAATTACAGAATATCAAAATGCAAAATGTAAAAATCCACAAAAAGATCTTAAAATCCCGAAATTTCAAAACCTAGACCCCAGAATTTTAGGACCTAAAGACATGAAAGTCGCAAATCTTTAAAATTTAAAAATTTGGACAAATTAAAATTTCGAAAATTACAGAATATCAAAATTCCAATAATTCAAAATGTAAAAATCCACTAAAAGATCTTAAAATCCCGAAATTTCCAAACCTAGACCTCAGAATTTCAGGCCCTAAAGACATCAAAGCCGCAAATTTTTAAAATTCAAAAATTTCGTAAAATCAAAATTTCGAAAATTACAGAATATCAAAATTCCAAAAATTCAAAATGTAATAAACCACTAAAAGTTCTTTAAATCCCGAAATTTCAAAACATAGACCTTAGAAGTTCAGGACCTAAATACATCAAAGTTGCATATCTTTAAATTTCAACAATTTTGAATAATCAAAATTTCAAAAATGACAAAATATCAAAATTTCGAAAATTCAAAATATAAAAATCCCCTAAATGATCTTAAAATCCCGAAATTTCAAAACCTAGACCCCAGAATTTCAGGACCCAAAAACATCAAAGTAGCCAGTCTTTAAAATTCACAAATTTGGAAAAATCTAATTTTCGAAAATTACAGAATATCAAAACCGCAAAAATTCAAAATGTAAAAATCCGCAAAAAGATATTCTTAAAATCACGAAATTTCAAAACCTAGACCTCAGAATTTCAGGACCTAAAGACATCAAAGTCGCAAATCTTTAAAATTCAAAAATTTCGAAAAATCAAAAATCCGAAAATTACAGAATATCAAAATTACAAAAATGTAAAAATTCACAAAAAATATTAAAATCCCGAATTTTGAACACCTAGACCCCAGAATTTCAGGACCTAAAGACATCAAAGTCGCAAATCTTTAAAATTGAAAAAATTGGTAAAATCAAAATTCCAAAAATTCAAAAATGTAAAAATCCACAAAAAGATGTTCGCTTATAATATACTCCTGGTAGCCGGAGATTTACAACATTTTTTTGCTTCTTAAAGGTTTTTCGAAAGTTACAGTGGTCAGTGACCATAAGGCGTTGAAACATTTCTCCAAATATTAGAAACATTACTTTAAGTATCAGGCGCTGAAATATGTAAGTAGGTACATCCTAGTCACTTATATTCTCCTGATAGAAATGCGGTATTTTTTGTGGATAGAAAAAAATTCCCTGGTTCAATAATATACTCCTGATAGTAAGAGGCAACATTTTGTTCACATTCCACCCTCTTATACTAGGTACCCTGATCAAAAGTTAAAGCGAAAATGCAGAGGCGAAAGATTTGTCCGAATGTTAGAAAAAGACCTCCTAGTTTATCATGTGTCCCTGATGGAAAGAACATTTTCCGACAAATACTCCCAAGTATTAGGAGGAAACATACCCCCTCCTTTGATACACCATCAGTATTAGGAGCAAAAATACCGCCTCACATTATGTACTCACCTGATACGGCTATTCTCGAATGTTATAGCGGAGGGGGTTGCCGCATTTCCCCGAATTTTGCCGAATTAGGTCGGCTAGGATTAAAATGGCATACATGCCTTAAAAGGATTCTTCCCAGCGATTCAAACAATCCCTTATCAGAAATCGTCAAGATTAAAAAAATTCAAGATTCAAGAAGCGATACTCAAGAAAATTAAAGATTCAAGAAAATTCAAGATTCAAGAAAATTAAAGATTCAAAAAAATTCAAGATTCATGAAAATTTGAGATTCAAGATTCAAGAAAATTCAAGATTCAAGAAAATTAAAGATTCATGAAAATTTGAGATTCAAGAAAATTCAAGACTAAAAAAATTAAAGATTCTAGAAAATTAAAGATTCAAGAAAATTCAAGATACATGAAAATTTGAGATTCAAGATTCAAGAAAATCCAAGATTCAAGACAATTCCAGATTCGATATCCAAGAAGTGAAGATTCAAGAATATTCGTCATATTCGGTCTGCGCCGTTTCTCGCCATGCTATAGGACGTGGCCTGTACCAGGAGTACAGAATTTTTCCCAAATTCTTAAATTCCCAATGCTCAAATTCTCAAATTTCCGCACCAAGCGGCGAATAACGAAAACTTACTGTTTAACGATGGCTCGGGACAACTCGACTTAAACTCGATCAACTCCTTGACCGCCGTACAGCCAATCGCCAAACTTTCAAAGTCCTGCTGCTGACAATTGACACCAGAGCCGGACTCACCGTCCACTACAACAGAACAGAGGTTAGTCCACCTCTCACCGACGCCCGCTAATGACCTTACCCGGCTGCTGCCTTCTCCTTCTGCTGACGTTCAACGTGGGGGTATCGACCACAGTGAACCGTCCAGGTAGAGGGCACTTCTTCGGGTGCAAGATCGTGGCTGAAATGTGCAAGTTAAGGTGGCGGGTTTGATGAGAGCAAGTGCGCTTACTTATTAAAGTCGTGTAGGGCGTTGCCATCGGGTTGAAATACTGGCAAGCGGAGTCGGGGTTATCTTCATAACGATCTGCCAATTATTGAATGATTTTTATTTTTATAATAAAATGGCGGACGATACTCACCTGACTGTTGCAGTTCGATTACGTTACTATCCCGCTTGTAAAACATCATGCACACGTATCCGCTGTCACTGTAAATTAAACCGATTAGTAGGTACCTACTCCAGGGGAATGCAAAGTGGGCTTACCATCCAGCGGTGATATGCGCGACAATCTGCACCTTCTTCTGCTCGACCGATTGCAGAATGTTGTGGCAGACGACGCGCATCTCGGTGTTCTGCCGTCGCTGATCTTGCGACTCGAAGCCGTTCTGCTGGAAGCCGAAGGGCTGTATGTAGTTCTGCTGCTGGTGAAACCGATTCGGTTTGACCTCCTCGTCGACGATCTTCAGCGTCGCGTTGCGCTGAGAGAACTTGTACATCTTCTTGTGATCGAGACTGAGCCACGTGTGATGGTCGGTGATCCACGTCGGAAATTTACATCGATTGTGGTGGTTGTCCACTGCAAGAGCGAAAGAAATTTACTTTAGTCTTAGGGAAAGATTCGGCGACACAGTGCGTTTTGCTGTTTTCTAAACGAAATTGCTGCATAAGAGAAAGGAATATCCGTGCGTGTTTAAAAGAATATTGCGAAATTCGAACCAGAGGGTGATCTCATTTGTTGAAAGATTCAAGAGGTAGATTTAGACACCGTATAAATAAGGTAAATTGTAAATTTTTGTATTTGTGTTCAGTATGGGCCGTTTTTCTTTAAGGATTTTTATCAAGCGAATTTTGACGTGGAGACAGTAATTAGATACATCCTTTAAAGCCCCAGTCTAACTATTTTTGTACCTGTCTGATTTGCTGTAACAGAAATTTTTCATTGTGACATTATCGTGCATTAACTCGGTTGAGTGTCAAGTTTTCTTGAATCTTGTCGTCATGAATCTTGAGTTTGGAATCTTATTGATTCTTGAATTTTCTATAATCTTGGATTTCCTTTAATTTCGAACCTTCTAGAATCTTAAATCCTCTTAAATCTTACTGAATCTTAAATTTCCTTGAATCTTGAATTTTCTTGAATATCAAATATTCTTGTGCTTATCTTGAATCTTGAATCTGGAATCGTCCGGAATCGTCTTGAATCGCCTTGAATCGTCTTGAACCGTCCTGAATCGTTGTAAATTGTCCTGGATCGCCCCGAATCGTCCTGAATCGTCTTGAATCTTGAATATTATTGAATCTTGAATATTCTTGAATCTTGAAGGTCGAATTTTCTTGAATTTTATGTCTGGAATCATCAATCTTCAATCTTGAATCTTCAATTTTCCTGAATCTTTAATTTTCTTGTATCGAATCTTCTTAAATCGTGAATTTCAAATTTTCTTGAATTTTGACTTATTTAATAGTGGAATCTTGGATCTTGAATTTTATTGAATCTGGAATTTCCTAGAATCTTGGATTTTCTTTAATTTCGAATCTTCTAGAACCTTGAATCGCCTTGAATCTTTTTCAACCTTAAATTTACTTGAATCTTTAATTTGCTTAAATCTTTCCTTGAATCTTGAATTTTCTTTAATCTTCTTGAGTGTTGCATCTTCTTGAATTGCAAACCTCGAATTTTCTTGTATCTTGACTTCTTGAATCTTAACTCTGGAATCTTATTGAACTAAAATCTTGGATTTTCTTTAAATTCGCATCTTTTAGAACCTGAATCGTCTTGAATCCTATTAAATCTTAAAATTTCCTTGAACCTTGAACTTTCTTGAATATCGAATATTCTTGTATCTTGAACCTTAAATCCTCAATTTTCTTGAATCTTGAAGGTCGACTTTTCTTGAATTTTAATTCTCGAATCACGAATCTTCAATCTTTAGTCTTGAATCGTCTTGAATTATCTTGAATCTTCAATTTTCTTGAATCTTTAGTTTTGTTGTGTCGAATCTTCTTGAATCTTGACTTCTTCAATATTGGCTCTGGAATTATTGGATCTTGAATGTTATTGAACCTTGAATTTCCTGGAATCTTGGATTTTCTTTAATTTCGAATCTTGAGTATTGAATCTTGAATCTGGAATCGTCTTAAATCGTCTTGAATCTTCTTGAATTGTTCTGAGTCGACTTAAATCGTGTTAAATCGTCTTGAATCGTTTTGAATCGCCTTGAATCGTTTTGAATCGCCTTAAATCGTCTTGAATCTTTCATCTTCTTGAGTGTGGAATCTTCTTGTATCTTGAATCTTGAATCCTCAATCTTGAATTTTGAATAATGAATGTTGAATTTGGAATCGTCTTGAATCAACTTAAATCATATTGAATCATCTTGAACCCTCTTGAATCGTCTTGAATATTATTGAATTTTGAATTTTCTTGAATCTTGAATGTAAAATTTTCTCGAATCTTGAACCATATTGAATCTTGAATTTTCTTGAATATGTAATTTTCTTGAAGTTTTAATTTTCTAGCATGTTTAATTTTACTTGAATCTCGAATTTTCTCGAATCTTATTAAATCTAAAATTTCCTTAAATCTTAAAATTTAATTGTCTTAAATCGTCTTGAATCTTCTTGAATCGTCATAAATCGTTCTGAATCGACTTAAATCGTGTGAAATCATCTTGAATCGTCTGGAATCGTCTTGAAGCGTCTTGAATGGTCTTAAATCTTCAATTTTCTTGAATCTTTAATTTTATTCAGTGTCGAATTTTCTTGAATCATGAATCTCGAATTTTCTTGAATTTGACTTCTTGAATCTTAACTCTGGAATCTTATCGAATCTTGAATTTTCTTGAATCTTTAATTTTCTTGAGAGTCGAATCTTCTTGAATCGTGAGTCTCGAATTTTATTGAATCTTGACTCTGGAATCATCGAATCTTGAATTTTCCTTAATTTCAAATCGTCTTGAATCTTATTGAACTTAAATTTACTTGAATCTGGAATTTGCTTAAAGCTTAAATTTCCTTGAGTCTTGAATTTCTCTGAATTTCGAATATTCTTGAATCTTGAATCGTCTTGAATGTTCAATTTTCATGAATCTTTAATTTTCGTGTGTGGAATTTTTTTGAATCATGAATTTCGAATTTTCTTGAATTTTGAACTCTTGAATCTTAACTCTGGAATCTTATTGAATCTTGTATTTTCTTGAATCTTTAATTTTCTTGAGAGTCGAATCTTCTTGAATCGTGAGTCTCCAATTTTATTGAATCTTGACTCTGGAATCATACAATCTTGGATTTTCTTTAATTTCAAATCTTCTAGAATCTTGAATCGTCTTGAATCTGATTGATATTAAATTTACTTGAATCTGGAATTTGCTTAAAGCTTAAATTTCCTTGAGTCTTGAATTTCTCTGAATTTCGAATATTCTTGAATCTTGAATCGTCTTGAATGTTCAATTTTCATGAATCTTTAATTTTCGTGTGTGGAATTTTTTTGAATCATGAATTTCGAATTTTCTTGAATTTTGAACTCTTGAATCTTAACTCTGGAATCTTATTGAATCTTGTATTTTCTTGAATCTTTAATTTTCTTGAGAGTCGAATCTTCTTGAATCGTGAGTCTCCAATTTTATTGAATCTTGACTCTGGAATCATACAATCTTGGATTTTCTTTAATTTCAAATCTTCTAGAATCTTGAATCGTCTTGAATCTGATTGATATTAAATTTACTTGAATCTGGAATTTGCTTAAAGCTTAAATTTCCTTGAGTCTTGAATTTCTCTGAATTTCGAATATTCTTCAATCTTGAATCGTCTTGAATGTTCATATTTCATGAATCTTTAATTTTCGTGAGTGTGGAATTTTTTTGAATCATGAATCTCGAATTTTCTTCAATTTTGAATTCTTACCTCTGGAATCTTATTTGACTCTTGTATTTTCTTGAATCTTTAATTGTCTTGATCTTAAATTTACTTGAAACTAGAATTTGCTTAAATTTTCTTGAATTTCCCTGAATTTTGAATCTTGAATTTTCTACAATCTTAGATTTTACTTAATTTCAAATCATCTAGAATCTTGAATCGTCTTGAATTTTATTGATCTTAAATTTACTTGAATCTGGAATTTGCTTAAATCTTTCCTTGAATCTTGAATTTCCTTGAATTTTTAATTTTGAATCTTGAATCTGGAATCGTCTTGAATCGTCTTAAATCTTCTTGAATCATCCGGAATCATTCTGAGTCGACTTAAATCGTCTTGAATCGACTTGAATCATCTTGAATCGTCTTGAATCTTGAATATTATTGAATTTGGAATTTTATTGAATCTTGAACGTCGAATTTTATTGAATCATGAATATTGAATCTTATTGAATCTTGAATTTTCTTGAATGTTCAATTTTCCTAAACCTTTAATTGTCTTAAATCTTGAATTTTGTTGAATCTTTCATTTTCTAGCATCTTTAATTTTCTTGAATCTTCAATTTTCCTTGAATATCGAATTGTCTTGAATCTTGAATTTTATTCAATCTAGAACCTTGAATCGGCTTAAATCTTATTGAATCTTAAATTTAATTGAATCTGGAATTTGCTTAAATCTTAAATTTCCATGAATCTTGAATTTTCTTGAATATCGAATTCTCTTAAATCTTGAATTTCCATATTCATTTGAAAAAACTTAAAATTTCACATTTACTTTTACGTTTATTCGTTTGCGGGTTTTGGAAAAAGAGTGTCTTTAAAAAATGTTGTTTTGAAGATCACACTCTGTCTCTGGGCCGGAAAGTAGACTAATAATAGACTGCATAACGTCATTCAGTCGGTCGCCTGCCTATTGTGCGCAGATAACCGATTTTCAATGACATTTTCGTCTTCCGACGGATTGCGCAATTTTGGCAATCGCGTGAAATTTCAAAGCAATCGTCAAGCCGCGTTCCTTTAAGACCGAGCGAGCCGAAGGTGAGTTCGACATAATTCGTGCTTAGAAGAAGCATTATTTAAGGTTATAAAAACAAAGTCCGACGATATCTTAAAAAAAACGTAGTGGGACTAAGGATCACCATCAATGAAAATTTAAAAAAAAATGTGTTAAAATTTTCCAGAAATCATTTAGTTATAGATGAAGAGGATTTCAAAAGAAAATTACACTTCCTGAGTATCTCAGGTCATTTTGAGAGCTTTATTTATATCACCCTTACCAAGTTAACCCCTACCCCTTACACCACGAACCGCTGATTAATGAAAGTGTTTTTTCACCTTAATTAATTTCAAAGCCACAGGTATAATTGTTCCGTTTATACTAAAGGGATTCGACGCGCATTCCTATCGTGTCTCGTCAACACATTTATAATCTGCGCGTAGAATTAAGGGTTGCGAAATTCCTCTCTCTGATTTCGGCGGAATCCGATTTTAATTAAGAGATTCGAATTACCTGTAATAAATTTCATGGTCCTGCTCCCTTCGAGCGCGTTCTGGATTCCGTTACAAGTGGCGTCGCCCGATTGCGCTATGTAGTACACGGTCTTGCCGCCCTCGTCCTTGCGCTGGTAAATGAAGCAGCGGTACTGGTCCTCGTCGGAGGTGAGCGTCCGACGATTGCCTTGGGATAGCCGGCCGAGCAGGTAGCGCGTCGAGCCCTCCTTCCAGGTGGCCAGGCACACCAGCTCCTCGACTGAAATTTTAACATGAATTTAATGAGGGGGGGGGGGCGAGCGTCGGTTACCGTTGCTTTCGGTCGATGGCAGGTCAGGGCAGGCTTGGTATTTAAGGACGAGCCGCGAGTCGTCCGTGCAACTTTCCGCTTTGCTAGGCGGATTCGTGCAGTCTCCGGTGCCCCGATTGTAGCTGAACATGAAGGGGGCGCTCTTGAACGGGCACGCTACCGGCTTCACCTCCGGGTGTTTGCGAAACATACTGTACAAAGCGGCGTCTCCAGAGATTCCACTACACAGTTCTTGGACCGATCTCTCACAGTACGCTACAAAACCGTTTGATAAGAATCGATGGGTCCTAGAAGGGTGCACTACTTACTTTCTTTGTATTGTAAGACGGTCGAGTGCTTGCTGTGGATCGCCATGCACCGGTAACAGTTGTCCGATCTGAAATTAAATGCGCGTGAATGCGACTAAAAAATACTCAATAAGAACTTAGAAAACCCGATTCTTAAAGATTCAGGAACCATTGATTCAATTCAGATTTTAGGGTTCAAAGTAAAAGGTTCAGGATTCAAGATTTAAACGGTCTTAAAAACTCAGGAAAGCTCAAGAAAAAGACTTATGAGGGCATAGAAATTTCAAGTAACTTTCAAAAAAAATTCAAAGATGTTCAAAGGATTTCAAGAAGAATTGAAACACGTTCAAAGATTTCGAAAGAAATTCAAGATTTGCAAAATATTTCAAGAAAATTTCAAGTAGATTTCAATGGGATTTAAAAAAAATATCGAGATTTTGGCTTTTTTGAAAAGAAAAATTTCAAAAAAGGTTCCAAAAAATTCAAAAGATTTCAATAATATTGCAAACAGATTTCTAGAGGATGTCAAGAGGATTTTAGCAAAAAACCAGGAAGATTTGAAGGAGATTTCAAAAAGACTTCAAAGAGACCTGAAGATTTCATAAAAATTCAACTGGAATTCAGAAAAATTGCAGAAATATTGGATGGATTTCTAAAAAATTTCAAAAAGCGTTCAAGAACATTTTTAGGAAATTTGAGAGAATGTTAAAAAATTACAAAAAGAATTCAAAATATTTCAATAGAATTTGGACATGTGTAGAAAATTTGATTCTTTCTTATATATTAGGGAGAAGATTGTACAATTTCAATACAATTATTAGAAAACTCAAAATTGTTTATTTTTTCCGTTGCCAAAACAACGCTAATACAGCACCACTCACTTCTCCACACATGTCAAGAAATTTTCAAAAAACGTTGAACATTTCAAGATTCTAAGGTTACAAACGATTATATATCGATTAAAAAAATTCAAAAGAACAAGAAATAAGAAATTCCGGGAATTTCAAAAAGATTTCAAGGAAATTTAAAAAAATTCGAAAAAATCTCAAGATTTCGAAAAAATTTTGGAAAAATTTTGAGATTTCAAACACAAAACATTTCAAAAGAACTTCTAGAGGATTTTGAGATTTCAAGGAGATTTTAAGAAGATTGGAAGAAGATTAAAAATAAGAATACAAAAAAGTTGCAAGAAAATGTCTAAAAAATTAAAAGAAAACGGAAAAAGATTTCAAAAATAGCAATGGGCTTTCAAGAAAATTTTAAGGTATTACGATAATTTAAACGGATAACAGGGTTTCAAGAAAATTTCGAGATTTTAGAATATCAAGGAAATTTCGGGAAAATTATCAGAAGATTTCAAGAAAAAAACCGAAAAGATTTCGAGACATTTCAAGAAAATTTCAAAAAAATTTCTAGAGAACGATTTTAGAAAAATTTCAGAAAAATTTGAAGGAATTTTCAAAAAGATTTCACGAAGATCCCAAAAAGAACTGAAGATAAAAAAATTCAAGGGGAATTCAGGAGAATTGCAGAAATCTTTGAAGGAGATAGATTTCTAAGAAATTTCAAGATTTCGAGATTTTGATAAAATTATAAGAATTCAAAAGATTTCAAGAGGATAAAAAGATAATTTCGAAAAAAATTCAAGAAATTTTCAAAAAACCTCCGACATTTCAAGGTTTCGAACATTTTAAGAAAATTTAAAAAAAAATTCGAAAAATGCCAAGATTCCGAAAACATGTCGAAAACAATTCGTGAAATTTCGAGATTTTAAAAATTACAAAAATTTCGAGTTCAAAAAAACGACTTCTAAAGATCAAGGGGAAGAAAATTTCTAAATGATTTCAAGGGGTTTTGCAAGGTAACAAGCAGATTACATGAATAATTCAAGAAAATATGAAGAGGTTTTCAACATTTCAAGAAGAGTTCATAAAATTTCCGAAAAAATTCTATTTCGAGATTTCCAGAAAATTTTGGAATAATTTCGAGATTTCAAAAACAAAACAGTTCATCAAATCAAAAGAATGTCTAAAGGATTTTGAGATTTCAAGAGGGTTCTAAGATGATTTTAAGAAGATTGGAAAGAGATTAGAAATAATACAAAAAAAATACAAAAAGGTTTCAAGAAAATGTCCAGAAAATTTAAAAGAAAACTCAAAAAGATTTCAAAAATAACAATATGCTTTCAAGAAAATTTTAAGGTATTACGATAGAATTTCAAGACAATTTCAGAAAAATTTCCGAAAGATTTGAAGGAATTTTCATAAAGATTTCACCTCAAAAAGAACTGAAGATATAAAAGGTATCAACCAAGAGTTTTTTCCGAAATCTCGGAAGGAGATTTAAAGATTTCTAAGAAATTTCAAGGAGTATTCAAGAATACTTCTAGAATATTTGAGAATGTTTTCAAAAAATTTCAAGATTTTGAAATTTTGACAATTCAGATTTCAAGAGGAAAGAGAATTTAACAAAAATTGAAGAAATTTTCAAAAAACCTTCGACATTTCAAGATTTCGAGATTTCAAGACGATTTCAAAACGCTTTGAAAAACATGTCAAGGAATTTTTTCAAGATAATTTCAAGAAGATTCCAAGGTTACAAGTTATATTTCTTTCAAGAGCAAAGAGATTCCGGGAATTTTGAAAAGATGTCAAGAAAATTTAAAAAAAAAATCGAAAAAATGTCGATTGAAAAAATTTCGAGATTTCAAAAACAAGACATTTCAAGATTTGAAAAGAATTTCTAGATTTTGAGATTTCAAGATTTTAGTATGATTTTAAGATTGAAAGATTAGAAATAAGAATACAAAAAAAATACAAAAAGGTTTCAAGAAAATGTCCAGAAAATTTTTAAGAAAACTCAAAATGATTTCTAAATAGCAATGGGCTTTCAAGAAAATTTTAAGTTATTACGATAATTTTAAAAGGATTTTACAATATCAAGGAAATTTCAAGGAAATTTCGAGAATATCTCAAAATTTCAAATGTCGAGTTTAAAAAAATTCTGGACGATTTTAATAAGGATTTAGGGATGTTTTAAGATTTCCAGGTTCCAAAAAATTATTTCAAGAAAAAAAATTTCGACATTTAGAGAAAATTTCATGATCTTTAAAAAATTTCAAGATGATTTTAGAAAAATTTCAGAAAAATTTGAAGGGATTTTCAAAAATATTTCCCGAAGATCTCAAAAAGAACTGAAGATATAAAAATTCAAGAGGAATTCAGGAGAATTGCAGAAATCTTGGAAGGAGATTTAAATATTTCTAAGAAATTTCAAGAAGTATTCAAGAAGACTTCTAGAAAATTTGAGAGTGTTTTAGAAAACTATTCAAGATTTCGAAATTTTGATAATTCAAACGATTTCAAGAGAAAAGAGAATTTAACAGAAATTGAAGAAATTTTCAAAAAAACTTTCGACATTTCAAAATTTCGAGAAGATTTCAAAAAGATTTCTAGAAGCTTTTGAAAGCATGTCAAGAAATTTTTTTCAAGACAATTTCAAGAAGATTCCAAAGTTACAAGCAGATTTTATATAGATTTCTTTTAAGAGAAAAGAGATTCCGGGAATTTCGAAGATTTCAAAGAAATTTCGAAAAAAATGTAATTTCAAGAAAATTTTGAAAAAATTTCGAGATTTCAAAAACAAAACATTTGAAGATTTCAAAAGAGTTTCTAGAGGATTTTGAGATTTCAAGGAGATTTTTTAAGATTATTTTAAGATTAGAAGAAGATTAGAAAGTCCAGAAAATTTAAAACAAAACTCAAAAAGATTTCAAAAATAACAATGGGCTTTCAAGAAAATTTACTTTTTTACTTTTATTTATTACGATAATTTTCAAAGGATAACAAGATTTCAAAAAAATTTGGGGTTAAAAAAAATTCTAGACGATTTTAATGAGGATTTAGGGATGTTTGAGGATTTCCAGGTTATAAAAAGTTATAAGATTTCAAGAAAAAAAATGGAAGATTTCGAGACATTTCGAGAAGATTTCAAAAAGATTTCTAGAGAATTTCTAAACGATTTTAGAAAAATTTCAGAAAGATTTGAAGGAATTTTCAAAAAGATTTCACGAAAGATTTTAAACAGATCTGAAAATATAACAATTCAAGAAGAATTCAGGAGAAATGCAGAAATCTTGGTAGCAGATTTAAAGATTTCTAAGAAATTTCAAGAAGTATCCAAGAAGACTTCTAGAAAATTTGAGAATGTTTCCGAGAATTTTTCGAAATTTTGATAAACGATTTCAAGAGGGAAGAAAACTTAACAAAAACTGAAGAAATTTTCAAAAAACTTTCGATATTTCGAAAAGAATTCGAGAAATTTTCGAAATTCCGGGATTTCAAAGATTTAAAAAATTTCAAGAATCCAAAAAAATTCAGAACGACTTCTAAAGGCTTTCAAGTTAATTTTAAGAGAATTTCTAAATGATTTCGAAAAGCTTTCAAGAATATTACAAAGTTACAAGCAGGTTACACGAAGAATTCAAGAAAATTTCAACATTTCAAGAAGATTTTCCGAAAAATTCCAAAAGTTTTCGAAACAATGCCAGAAGATTTTGAGATTTCAAAAAATAACAATGGACTTTCAAGAAAATTTCAAATTTTAAAAGGATAACAGAAAGATTTCGAAACGATTTAAAAAAAACTTTGAGAAGATTTTTGGAAAATTTCAAAGGGACTTCAAGAAGATTTCAAAAAGGTTATTATGATTTCAAGATTTTAAGATTATAAGGAGATTTCAATAGAATTTCAGGAAGATTTGAGGGAAATATCAAGATTTCACGAAGACATGTTTCAAAAATAGTTGTTTACAAAATATTAATTGCCACAAGGTCATATTGTCATCGAATCATAGTGTCATAGGGTCATCGAATCATAGTGTCATGGTGTTATATGGCCTTTATGTCATAGGGTCATGTTTCATAGACATATGGTCATGCGTCATAGTGGCAAACTGACGTAGTGCATAGTGCAATAGTATCATTGGGTCATAGTATCATGGTGTCATAAGAGGCATAGTTGCATAGCGGCATAGAAGCATACCGACATGGTGCCATCGTGTCATAGTGTCATTGTCATGGTGTCTTTGGGCGCGTGCATAAGACACAAATGTTGTGGAACAGTTACCGATACGTCTTATAATTACGTCGCTACTTTTGCGCTCTTTACGGAGTAAGTAGTAGCGCTACATGTCAAAGTAGTGATCATGTCATGGCGTCCGCGTCATAGTGTCATGGTAACATAGTCTCATATTGCCATAGTGTAATAGCGTCATAGTAACAATGCCATATAGTGTAATGGTGCCGTGGCGTCATGGTGTCATCGTGCCATAGTGCCAAGGCGTCATAATGTCTCAGTGTCATAGTGTAGTATCAGTGCCATAGGGTCATAGTGCAAGAGTGTCATAGGGTCTGTCATAGTGTCTGACATAGTGTCTGCCATAGTGCCTGCCATAGTGTCTGCCATAGTATCTGTTATAGTGTCTGTCATAGTGTCTGTCATAGTGTCTGTCATAGTGTCTGTCATAGCGTCTGTTATAGTGTCTGTCATAGTGTCTGTCATAGTGTCTGTCATAATGTCTCTCATAGTATGTCATAGTGTACTCTGTTATGGCATGTCATTGTGTCTGTCATAGTATGTCTGTCAAAATGTCTGTCATAGTGTCTCTCATAGTGTCTGTCGTATTGTCCGTCATAGTAGTGTCATAGTGTCATGACTTCATGGTGTCCTGGTGCCATACGACCATTACGTCATTAGGTAACAGTGTAGTATTCTCATAGTGTCACATTTTCGTACTGTAGCAGTGTCGGTCGTAGCGTCATTGTATCACGGTGTCATAGTGGCAATGTGGCAAAATTTGACGATTTTGAAATATTAAAATTCCAATCTTCAATTTGATATTTGTCAAAACGTCAACATTCCAAAACGTCAAATCGTCAAAGTTTCAAAACGCCAAAGCGCCAAAACGTAAAAACTTTAAAACTTCGTCAGAAAGCCAATACGTCAAATGTTAAAAGATCAATTTGTCACAAAATGTCGAAATATCAAGACATCCGGGTCAAAAACTCAAAACGACGAAAAATCGTCAATATTATTCGAGTTTGAAAATTCCAAACATTAAAATTTTATTTCAAAACTGTAAAACGTCAAAACGCCAATCGTAACAACCTTAAAACATCAAAACAACAACAATCTGCAAAAAACAAAACGTCAAAAGTCAAAAGCGTCAAATAATAAAATGCCAGAACGTCTAAACGTCCAAAAATCAAAACAAATATAAAAAGGTCAAATCTTAAAATGTATGTCTTGAATTTTTCATGTAATGAGAAGACAACACGGTCAATAGGGAAGCATCGAGCACGTGAAAGAGTGATAACGTTCAATCATCAAACAGTAAAAAAAAGTCAATAGGTCAAAATGTCAATGTGTCAAAATTTAAAGATCTCGAAATATTAAAAAAACGTCAAAATGTTAAAAAGGGTCATAGTATTAAAATGTCAAAACTCGCAATGTCGAACGTCAAAAAGTCAAAACGTCAATATGACACAAAATGGCGATATGTCATGGCAAAACTGAAAAAAAACGTGCAAAGGTCAACACGTCAATACACCAAAGTGTCGGAATATGGCAAAGTCATTTTAAATCGGCAATTTGTGAAAGATTAAAATGCCATAATGTCAACATTTCGTATCAAAATTTGAAAATGGTGATTCGTCAAAATATCAAAACGTCAACTTTCAAAAATGACATAGTGCTATAGTGTCGTACTGCCATAATACAATCATGCCATAGCGTCATAGTGTCATGGAGACATAGTGTCATATATTTGCATAATGTCCTTAACGTTTTTGGTAGATAACCTGCACGTTAAGTTTGACGTTTCTGATATATCACAATGTCATAGCGTTATAACGTCCTAATGCCATGCAATAATGTCAAAATTTGAAGATGCTAAAACTTTTAAATTTGGAAACGTCAAAATTACAATACTACTAAAAAAGGCCAGAATCTCAAAACGTCAAAAGGACTGTCAAAGTGTACAAATGTCACAATCTCGAGACGTGAAAACGTAAAAATGTCAAAATGTCGAAATAATGTTTTGATCAAAGCATCTAATTAATTAATTAATTAATTAATAATTATCTCCGTGCAGAGATGTTGCGTAGCTTCTTTAACACTAAAGGGTGTCACAAATTCACCCCGTAATTTAAAAAAATCTCCACATTTACAGAACTTACTTATGTCGTAACTTACTTGTCGTAAACTAAGAACTTGGTGTTATCATCTCCTTGTTCCTCGTAGCATTCCCCTTTGGTCTCGATATGCGTCCTATTTATTAGCAAAGTTGTCGGCACTCCCGACTGGAACCATCTTCCCGCCCACTCCTCGGGAAACGTGCATCCGGCTGGAAAAAAAGGAGAAAAATCGGGGTTAGTAATGCAGATTTCGGCGGGGGGACAAATTGAATCTTCCCCGATATCGCGCAGTAAATAAAGTCAAGTAAGAAGAAGTTAAGGGCAATAAAAATAATTAAACCGACCCCTAAATCGGCGCCGTAATTGCTAAACAACACCGTTTAAGTTCGGTAAAGTTTGTTAGAGCTCTTCTCTCTGACTGTATATACGCGCGGGGGGAGACGGGGGAGGGCTCAGCTGCCGCGGCACTGCGAAATCATTACAAAACGAGATTAAAACGATTTAGCAATGTCATTACGGCGAAGATGGACAAAGTTTTGGGGAATTCGAATACGCCGCCGATGCCCGATCCGGTTTTTTCGACCGCCCCCCTCCCCCCCCCCTTCTAACTCGATTAATTGCCCAGGTGCGCGTTGTCTTTGCGGGGACAAACGAGATGCGCGCGGCAGCAATAAATCTGAAATATGTAAGGCGACACATTAAATAACGGGACAGGCAGAAGGGGGGGGGGTGGAATTGATGCGGCGAGCACACCTGTGCGGCGCGCGGCAGCGAAAAATGTCTTCCGACCGCATTATATCTACCGGGATTCCCTTCTGACATTTTTATCCCCTATTCATGAAGCCGACAGTTAAGTTTCTCCGTTTCTCGGGAAATTGTTTTTTTTTTTTAATTATTTTCATATCGCGGAGCCGCTTTTTAATTGTTTTTTAATCCTACTTACTACATTAAAATTGCTTTTGTAGTAAGTATAATGAGGCTTTTGCCATTTTGATAAACGACGAGATTAAAATTATTAACCGCGGGGAAATAAAAGTTCTCGTCCCGCCGGAGCTTAACGTCGTCTATCGTTGTCAGTTGGCTGTTGAGCCACAGTAACAAAGGAATCGACATTTCAGTAACATATTTAGCCCACCCTGAATGTTACTTTTAGCGTTTATCAGTCAGCTACTCAGAAACAGAAAAGGAAACTGATCAGTAACGCTAGGAATACAGGGGAGCATTGATGAGACCAAACGGCATTCTTGTACCATAACCGAATTTTAGACAGTGAAATCGATAGAGGTGAAGGACTGAAGGTCGTGATTGAAGAAAACTCAAAATTCTAGAAGATTCCAAAATCAGTAAGATCCAAGATTCAATAAAATTTATGATTCACGACGATTCAGAGAGACTCAAGAAGATTTTAGATTTTAAAAAATTCGAGATTCAACAAAATTCAAGATTCAATCAGATTCAAGATTCAACAAGTTCACAGACGATTCAAGATTCATGAATCAGGAAGATTCGAGATTTAAGAAAACTCGAGATTCAAGAAAATTCAAGATTCAACAAAAATCAATATTAAAAAAATTCAATAAGATTCGATAAGATTCAAAATGCAAGAAATTTAAGAATCGAGAAGATTCAAGAAGGTTCGAGAATCAAGAAAAGTCATGATTTAAGACGATTCAGGATTCAAGACGAATCAAGATTCAAGATGATTGAAGGAGACTCAAGAAGATTTTAGATTTAAAAAAATTCGAGATTCAACAAAATTCAAGATTCAAGAATAAAGACGATTCCAAATTCAAGAACCAAAAGGATTCAAGATTCTATAAGATTCAAGATTCTATAAGATTCAAGATTGAATATCACACACGATTCAAGAATCGAGAAGATTCAAGAAGGTTCGAGATTCAAAAAATTCATGATTTAAGGACGATTCGTCAATGAGATTGAAGATTCAAGATTAAAAAATTCATAATTCAAGCTGTAGGACTTTGAATTCGAGATTCAAGAAAATTCAAGTTTCAAGAAAATTCAAAACGTTTACAGATCCAATGTTTCAATAAAATTCAAAATTCAATACGACTCCAGAATCAAAATGATCCAAGATTCAAGATGATTCAAGATTCAGGAAGATTCAAGATGATTCGGGATTCTATAAGATTCAAGATTGAATATCACACACGATTCAAGATTCATGAATCAGGAAGATTCGAGATTTAAGAAAACTCGAGATTCAAGAAAATTCAAGATTCAACAAAAATCAATATTAAAAAAATTCAATAAGATTCGATAAGATTCAATATGCAAGAAATTTAAGAATCGAGAAGATTCAAGAAGGTTCGAGAATCAAGAAAAGTCATGATTTAAGACGATTCAGGATTCAAGACGAATCAAGATTCAAATGATTCAAGGAGACTCAAGAAGATTTTAGATTTAAAAAAATTCGAGATTCAACAAAATTCAAGATTCAAGAATAAAGACGATTCCAAATTCAAGAACCAAAAGGATTCAAGATTCTATAAGATTCAAGATTGAATATCACACACGATTCAAGAATCGAGAAGATTCAAGAAGGTTCGAGATTCAAAAAATTCATGATTTAAGGACGATTCGTCAATGAGATTGAAGATTCCAGATTAAAAAATTCATAATTCAAGCTGTAGGACTTTGAATTCGAGATTCAAGAAAATTCAAGTTTCAAGAAAATTCAAAACGTTTACAGATCCAATGTTTCAATAAAATTCAAAATTCAATACGACTCCAGAATCAAAATGATCCAAGATTCAAGATGATTCAAGATTCAGGAAGATTCAAGATGATTCGGGATTCTATAAGATTCAAGATTGAATATCACACACGATTCAAGATTCATGAATCAGGAAGATTCGAGATTTAAGAAAACTCGAGATTCAAGAAAATTCAAGATTCAACAAAAATCAATATTAAAAAAATTCAATAAGATTCGATAAGATTCAAAATGCAAGAAATTTAAGAATCGAGAAGATTCAAGAAGGTTCGAGAATCAAGAAAAGTCATGATTTAAGACGATTCAGGATTCAAGACGAATCAAGATTCAAGATGATTCAAGGAGACTCAAGAAGATTTTAGATTTAAAAAAATTCGAGATTCAACAAAATTCAAGATTCAAGAATAAAGACGATTCCAAATTCAAGAACCAAAAGGATTCAAGATTCTATAAGATTCAAGATTCTATAAGATTCAAGATTGAATATCACACACGATTCAAGAATCGAGAAGATTCAAGAAGGTTCGAGATTCAAAAAATTCATGATTTAAGGACGATTCGTCAATGAGATTGAAGATTCAAGATTAAAAAATTCATAATTCAAGCTGTAGGACTTTGAATTCGAGATTCAAGAAAATTCAAGTTTCAAGAAAATTCAAAACGTTTACAGATCCAATGTTTCAATAAAATTCAAAATTCAATACGACTCCAGAATCAAAATGATTCAAGATTCAAGATGATTCAAGATTCAGGAAGATTCAAGATGATTCGGGATTCTATAAGATTCAAGATTGAATATCACACACGATTCAAGATTCATGAATCAGGATGATTCGAGATTTAAGGAAACTCTACATTCAGGAAAATTCAAGATTCAACAAAAATCGATATTCAAAAAAATTCAAGATTCGATAAGATTCAAAATTCAAGAAGTTTAAGAATCGAGAAGACTCAGGAAGGTTGGAGACACATTTCAAGTACATTGAAGTAATTCAGCAAGATTTTATAAGGCAGAAGGTCAGATGACTCATGAAAAATTCGGAAGACTGAGACAGGTTCAAAGGCTAAGGGGTATCAGGGTGACACGGAGGCCTTTAAGAAGAATCAATTAAATTTACCTAAACAAAACTAAAACTGATCAAATTCAAGAAAACTCTCAAAAGACTCAAGATTCATTAATTGAAGATCGAAGCCGAAATTGTACGTCAGATTTCAAGCTAATAGAGTGAAAATTTAAGATACATGATATAGGACTCAGACTTTAGGATGAACTATTCATGACCCGTAATCTGGATTTTAGGATTCCGGGTTCAATAGTAAAGATTACAGACTCAAACTAAATAAAGACTCAAGACTCAAGTCATTAACCATAAATTAAAAGACTCGAAAAGACTAGATTATGGATTCAAGATTCATGATTCAAGATGCAAGAGAATTCGAAATTCAAGAAAATTCGAGATTCAAGAAAATTCGAGATTGAAGAAAACTCAAAATTCAAGAAGATTCCAGAATCAGTAAAATCAAGATGATGCAAGATGATTTATTTCACAATCAAGAAGATCCAAGATTCAAGATGATTCAAGATTCAAGAAGGTTCGAGATTTAAGAAAATTCAAGACAACAAAATTCAAGATTCAAGAATAAAAACGATTCAAAATTCAAGAAAATTATAGATTCAAGACTATTCAAGAATCAAGATGATTCAAGATGATTTGACAATCAAAAAGATTCAAGAAGATTCGAGATTTAAGAAAATTTGAGATTCAATAAAATTCAAGAATAAAGACGATTCAAGATTCAAGAAAATTCAAGATTCACGAAGATTCAAAATTTAATAAGATACAAGACGATTCAAGATTCGCGAAACAAGAAGATTTGAGAAAACTCGAAATTCAAGAAAAGGTTCAACAAAAATCAATATTCAAGAAAATTCAAGATACAAAATTCGATAAGATTCAAAATTCAACACATTCAAAAATCGAGAAGATTTTAGAAGGTTCGAGATTCAAGAAAATTCATGATTTAAAACGATTCAAGATTCAAGAAGATTCGAGATTCAACAAAATTCAAGATCTTGATTCAATCAGATTCAAGACGATCCAAGATCAAGGATCGAGATTCAAGATTTGAGATTTAATTAGAGATTTAACAGAATTCAAGATTCAAGCATAAAGGCCATCCAAGATTCAAGAAAATTCAAGGATCAAGAATATTCAAGATTCAAAGATTCAAGAAAATTAAAGATTCAAGATTAAATAAGATACAAAACGATTCAAGATTCATGAATTAAGATTCAAGATTCGAGAAAATTCAATATTCAAGAAAATTCAAGATACAGGATTCGATAAGATTCAACATTCAAGAACTACAAGAATCGAGAAGATTCAAGAAGGTTCGAGATTAAAAAAATTCATAATTCAAGCTTTAGGACTTAAGATTCAAGTGAATTCGAGATTCAAGAAATTCAAGATTCAAGAAAATTCAAGACGTTTACAGATCCAATAAGTTTCAATAAAATTGAAAATTCAATACGACTCAAATTGATTCAAGATTCAAGATGATTCAAGATTCAAGAAGATTCAAGACAATTCAAGTATCAAGATTTCAGATTCAATAAGATTCGATATTCAATAAAATTCGAGGTTCAGGAATCAAGATGATTCAAGATTCAGGACGATTCGAGAATCTAGAAGATAAAAAAATTCATAGGATTTAAGATTCAAGAGCACTCGAAATTCAAGATTTCAGATTCAATAATATTCAAGATTTAATAAAATTCGAGGTTCAAGAATCAATATGATTCAAGATTCAGGACGATTCGAGATTTAAAAAATTCAAAATTCAAGATTCAGGATTTAAGAATCAAGAGAATCCGAGGTTCAAGAAAATTCAAGACAACCGAGTCAATAAAATTTAATAAAATTCAAAATGTCTCCAGAATCAAAATGATTTATGATTCACGATGATTCACGATTCAAGAAAATTCAGGATTCAAGAAGATTCGAGAAGATTCGAGAATTACGAAAATTTTAAATTCAAGAAAATTCGAGATTAAATCAAATTCAAGATTCAAGGAAACTCAAGT